ATGGGGACATGGGGAACATGGATGACTCGTGCACATCTGGGACCACTTCAGTCAAGTTTTGGGGCAGCAGAATGTGCCTTTCTAAGCCACATTGTATTTCATATTAAGAGCGGCAATTAAACCAATTAGTGGTCACCCAGTGAGCTGCTAGTTTACAAAAGGCCTTCATTTTAAGCAGCAAAACCAATTTCCAGCAAGGTTTAAAATAGGAAGATGCTATGCAAACATAAACATGCTCATGCCATTAGGAATTAGACAATGACTGCATAGGCTTTTACTGCAGGTGGCATATACCAAACACTCTTGTTTAATAAAAGAGATGGGTGGATCTCAGATTTCGAATGAAACACACACACCTCCATTTACAGTGATTCAAGCATAAAGCCAGTCCACCTACTAAAATGCAAGTGCCACATCCATTTTTCCTCGCAGTAAATGCAGATCACATGTATGATCACTGCAATCCTACAAAGCCATAAGGGGCCATACCGGGTACCACACTGGCTCATTACTTGCACGACAAACTATCAACTTCAAAATCAAGTATCTGCACTGCTCTAAGCTGAATTTGTTCCAGTTTGCATTTAAAAAAAAAATCATAATTCACTGCTTGGAGCTGCAAAGACAGATTTTTCCTTAAAACAAATTTCAAGCATTATTTCCCAAAGTAGCATTAAAAGAGCTCATAGCTGCCAATACCAAGAGGTCTGAATCTTTTTCTGTCTTGGAATCAACCCTTAATTTTAAGCTTGTGCAAAGTCTGGGCATCTCCCATGTTGTTTTCAAGAAACCTGCCCCATCCCGAGATCTAGTGACTCACTCCCAAACATCTAACTCGCAGAACCCAAACTGGCTGCACCCACAAAACACCTTGTGACTAGGCAAAACCACAGTAAATAGGTGGGAAAGCAATGCAAGGAGAGTAACTCAGAAAAGCAGATGAGAACTGCTTGTTCCCCAGCTGCTGTTTCCTCTGGAGAAGCGCTGGGCTTGGCTTATGAAGGGATGTTGAGACGATGCTCAATTTTGCGGGGTGCAGATGGCTGCATTTCTGCACCGTTTTAACAAATCCCAAATGCTGTTGCTCCATTAGAAAAGCTAAGATGATATTTTCCAACTGAAGGAATAGAGAGGCTTGTGCTTTTCTCCACGTGTTTTTTGTTTTAAAGAAATGTCTCAAAATATTTTCTCAGGGAGTGTTTCTGCTGAAGTAGATCAGGATATTCAACACAGAAGGAAAAATAAGCTGACCCTTGAAGTACACAGGAGCGACTCACCCACAAACCTTGTGCTTCAGAGGTGCACGGCTACAAGTTCAGCCTATGTCCTCTCCATCCCCAGCTAGATTATGATAATGCTTATTAGAATAGGTGTTTTTAATGAAAAAATTAATGTTCTTCACCTAAAACTGAAATGTTAGAAAAGTTAAAATTAATCAAACTTTAGTTTCAGTATAAGTAATCACTACTTGTTTTTTTGCCAGAGTCATAAGTTTCAGAAGGTTAAACTGTTTCCAAAACAAGAACAATCTATCAACAGTTTTTCAGATGATTTTATAGCTAATGCATCCAAAGGGCACAATTCTGTTTCCTTAAAATTCTGTTTTCAATTTAAAAGACCCAGGCAGGAGGTGGCATGCTGCACAACAAAACCAGGGCTGAGAGCTGTTTGCATCTGTTCCTACTACATGAGTAAATCACAACTGTTTGCGATGAGAAATCATGCAAAATAGTTAATGTGCAACCACTTCCACAAGCAGCATTAGCCCAGCAAACCAAGCTAACTCAGTAATCAGGCTTGCACCTCGCCAAGCCACCGATTAGCTCAGTGCAAACCTTACGACCTACTGAACTTGTGCGTGATTGATCTCTGGGCACAGGGTGCTCACATGTCTCCCCACACCAGCTCTGCTTATCACTTCACCTGTGTTTGCAATGAATCTAATCAATGGCAGAGATGCAGCTGTGCATCTACCACAAAAAAAAAGGAGAAAAAAGTTTAAGCCCACTGTTTGCATTACTGGCTCACCTGCCTTTCCCGCGATTAGCACTGCACGGATCAAACCCGGTCTGAACAACTCCACCAGTGTAATAATCAGACAATACTCATGATGGAGAGTCCAGTTCAATTATAGAAAGAAATAAAGCTGCAAGAAAAGCATCACAGTGAAATACCAAATTTCACTGTAATTGCAAGCCTCCTTGCTTTGCTGAAGTCATCTCTCATGTTCATTATCTAGTCTCATTCCTGCCTCTGGAGGCACACAGGCATGTAACACTAATATATTCAGCTTCCCCAAGCTCTCGCTCTCTATTCATCATGTGGTAAGAACTCTTTTTAATAAACTACATCTTTACAAAAGGAATATCGTCATTTGTCACCATCAGGTCAGATGAAGAGAGTCAATCTTCATTTTTACATAAGCCAAGAGCAGCAGCTGCAAAATATGAAGCCAGTAACCCTGCCCCGTGCCACTGCTGGTTCCTCCACCAGCATCCACGATGCTGTTCAGCTGGACATTTGCGGGTGGGGATCAACTGTATCTGAATGCAACTGAGAAGAGGACTATCTTCTGCATTGGTGCCCCAAAACTGAGGGGCTAGGAGACACCAGCTACTCAAAGCATCTCACTTCAGAAGCAAAATAAAATAGAAAAAAACTTGCTCCAACATGCAAGCAGGGGGAAAAGGTCATTCTTTCAGACAAACAGCTCAGGCACTACTAGTCCTTTGGGTTCTCATTACTGTTTCTAACGAGCAGTCGAAGCATCCCAAACCAGGCTGCAGAGAGGGGAAGGGACACAATCCCCGCACTGGGACAGGCGTGACGGCTATTCTGACCTGATCAGCCAACTCCAGCTTTTTTCCACCATTTCCTGGGGGAGGGAAGGGAAGCGCAGAGACAGGTGGGAGCAAACAAACCAGATACTGCCGCCCATAAACAAAGGAAGAGTTTTTTGATGACAGCATGTAGGTAGACAGGAAGGAAGTAACAGAAGCAGCAGTTACAAAAACAACAACAATTTAAAAAAAAAAAAAAAACAACAAAAAACCTCAATGAGAAGGTCTAAAGAAACTATTTCCTCTAACAAAACATGCTGGAAACGGTATCAGACACTGCTGAAGTCAAAGGAGTTCAGTACATGGCCATTTTCCCGTCCTATCAGCAGCACACCCTTCCCCTGTTAATGCAGTCGCCCCCGTCACTCCTCCTGGCTTCACCACAGATACACGCCCCTTCTCCAGGGTCCATCCTGCCCCCATTCTCTATAATATTAAATTATTTTCAAGAAACTCCTGAAGAATTAAGTCAGCTGATCTGTGTAATTAACTCAGCAAACCCATGCGTCTGCAAGAGCTCTTTTCCATCACATTTAAACACCCCAGGGGGCCCAGCTGCACACAAAAATCGATAGAAAAGCAACACATTTAGCCTGCATTTTTCCCCTCCCAAACTGGTTTCTCTTTCTAGTTGCTCCCACTCTCCAGGAAAGCGTGGGGGTCCTTAAACCCTTTTGAGTAGAGCTACGTACAACAAACAGCTGAAAACAGTCATTTTCTCTGCAGCTGGACTCCTCCTCAGATCCCAAACATTTCCGATTTGTACCTAGATGAAAATTATTCCAGCAGCTGTACCAGACAGCCCACACTTCGATTTTATAGTATCGCTATTTCATAGGCTTTTTCACAAAGACTTTCACTTGCTTCTCACCACACATACTCGCTTTCAAGTTAGCAGTTGGAGATAAAAAAGCAGCAATATTGGCATCAGTCACCAGCACCAACCCCAGGAGGGATGGAAGGACACTGGGGCAGTGCTGGTCCTCCCCAGGAGGGAGGGAGGGAGGGAGGGATGGACAGACATCCTTGGGAGGATACATCCCCGGGAGGGATGGAGGGACACTGGGGCAGTGTCTGGTACTCACCCCATCTGGTTTCTCACTGCTCAAGTTTTACTACTTGCTACTGAGGATCCTAAAAATGCTGTTTTCTTGCATGGGATGTGACTCCTTTCTCTTACAAGAAGCCTGGGAACACATCCTCTGCCTTCTGCCCGTGTCAGGGCACATTTATGTTGTAGATGGCCTCTTTACTGCCTCTGCTTACACACACTCACACAGGAGAAACCGAGATGTTTAGGCAGTATTTCTTTTGACTTTGCACAAAGAACAAACCCCTGCACAACTTTAAACACGTAATTTCCATCTTGCACATCAGTCGCTGCCAAACCTAATACAGAAAACTTTGGCCTAATGCTGGATTTTAGGACTTTTCAGACAAAATGAACAGCTGTGCTTACATCTATGTGAAGAACAGGAGGGCTCCCCAGGCTGGGGAGGATTACAGCTCACCATCGCTCTTCACCCCCGTCCACCCAAGGGGCTGCAGCCCCATAGGGTCCCACCAGCTCGTGTCTCTAACAACTCATGTGCACATAAGGGCAATGCCAGTGGGATACATGTGCTTGCAAGCAGCACTAGAAAACTACCAGCACACAGAATCCAGTATTAAAAGACAAACTAGCAGTTTTTGTTTGGGGATTCAAGATGGTTTTTTTGTCAGACTGAAAAATGCCACCCTGAGCTGCCTCCGTACCTTCCTGTAAAGTTCCAGGGCATCCTGCTCTCCTCTGGCCCTCATGTTAGGGAGAGAAATCAGGGATATTTGGTTGTAGGGCCCCCTTATCGTTTGTTTCAGAAACTGGAAGGCACCAAGCAAGTCAGGGCTGCAGAAGGAGAAACATCTCCTAGCTACAGCAGCTGAAGCTAGACCCAAAAGTTTTTTACCCTTCCATGAACCAGCCCCTGCCCAATGACGAACGAGTCTGAAAACTCCCCAGGAATGGTCACCAGCTGCATGTTTCTCATTTTCCGAGTGCCTGGCTTGAGGCACTGCAGGCAGCTCAGAGAGGCAGAAGCCAGGGCTTGAATATAAAATGTCCACCTGTGGTCTGCATCTAAGGGATAAAACCAAACCACCCTTCAACATTTATACCATTACCTGTCCCGAAGCATCCAGCCCTGTCTCACAAGTAAACTGCAAACACCACCTTGCGCTTTTGATGCATTTGCACACAGGCATCACAGATGAACCCGCGCAGGAATTATTAATCCTGTCTTCAGGGAAGAGTTTGAATAGCTATAAATAAATACAGCCTGTGGCCCCGTACACAATGGGACGGACCGTTCCCGCTTAGCGGGTGGCTTTCTCTTATATTTAGCAATATGCAAGCCCTGTGGGGAAACAGCCCGTATGCAACCACGCACCGAGACCACGCCGGTCTGCGCTCGCACAGAAAGGCAGAGGAGATGCTGCGGGACCAGCAGCAGCACACGCCATCTTCCACCTTCAAGTGTTTGACTCTGCAATTCTACTTATAGAGCTGCGTGAGAGGCTTAGTTATTTATTTAACTAAAAGCTTTTAATTATCTCTCTCACACACACGCATTACATAGGGCGGGGAAGGAGGGGGAATAATCAGCCTACAACTGGTGACCCACAGGTTCAAAGGAATTGGGTTTTTCATAGAAATAGCTAACTAACCCAAATCTTCCCTTGCTGCTTCCAAAATGTGCTTCCATCCGTGGTGTATTTTGCTGTGATTACAACTCAGGATGACCTGATCACTGTAAGAAGGACCTTGGTTCGGGCAGAGCAAAGGCTCCTCCCCAAGTCTGGGCTGCAGGTTTCCTCAGCTGGCCACAGAAGATGTTATTTCATGATGTGAACCTGCCTGAAAGCCCAGCTGACATCCCAGGCCACAGAAGATGTTACTTCATGGTGTGAACCTGCCTGAAAGCCCAGCTGACATCCCACGGCACTCATCCTTGCCAACAGATGGAAGGGACCAGTCTCCAAAAACACACGCGTGGGAGGGAAGCACACAACACAATGGCCACGGCCACACGACCAACCAGCCACAGAGCTCTCCCACCACCAGAAACACACTGCAAGCAGAAACATTCCCCAGAGCTGCTCTTCTTCCTACATCTTCCAGGCTCTGCACTGAGATCAGGGAGACACAAAATACTTGGTCCCCTCCAAAAGCACCAGAGTTCAAGTACTGCGCAACTTAATAAATTATAAATTATGAACCACTGCTGCAGACATTTGCTCCAAGCACAGCGGCCAAAGCAAGCTGGCATGGGAATCTGTTTAAAAAGCCCGTATCAGAAACACAGAGGGGTCTGGAGGAGGGTGTCCTGGAAGAGTACGATTGCTTGAAACACATACCCCAAGCCCATGCAATTTTCCTCTATGTGGAACTGCTTCATTAAGACAAAAAAACAAAACAAAACAAAAAAAAAAAAGACATTTAGTCCATCTAAGCAGAAGAATTAAAAGTATTTGCTTTTAATACATAATGTTAGTGGCTTTACACAAGCAAAAAATTCACATAAACAGAAACCAAGCGTAAACAACAGACTGAATTTATAGAAACTAATAATATTAATCTGGATTAAGTACAAGCCACGAACATTCCTACCTAATCCATCTGACGGACAAAGATAAATCCCCGCTATGTCATATCCTACAGTTCTTTGCAACTTAAGGAACCGTAGTACTGATCAAAACAGTGTAGCAGATGAGAAGTATAAGGTGAAATCTTTACGTATAGCTGCCTGCTTAATCTACACAAGATTACATCAAAAACCAAGCACCCAGAAAGCAGAACCATCATTGCAAAAGATCACTAAACCCAGAGTGAAATTTCCACTCAAGATGGAAGGCTTCGTGTTGAGCTTCCCCAGAGAGATGCACAACAGCAACAAAACACAGCTCCAAATCTGAATAATCTGAATATCTCCCACTTCTTAATGCTTCAGAAAAGTTGCATGGGGGTGAACCATGGTTAGGCAGAAGCCAGTAGATCTGCAGCATTAAAAGCACAAAATAAGGTTTATAATAGGAAACGATTTGCACCATAGAGCTGCTGCAGGCCCCTCAAAGACTACCTTTATTAAAGCAACACCTCTGATTCATCACAGCTTATTACCACGAATGTCAAAGCTGCTTCAGCAAGCAGAGCAAGTCCAGACACTAACCCTGTGCAGCACACAAATACAGCCCAGCTCGAGTTCCCCGTCCGCGGCGCCGTGGGAAGCGCCCGCCCTGCCTCCCGCTCCACTCAGGTTTCTGTTCCAGGCAACCCCCTGGCCCAGACACCTGGAGAGCCCCGAGCTCTCGCCGTCCATCATGAACACAGCACCTCTGAGCAGCAGGAACTTCTCAGGCTTTTTCCAAAAAATAGATGCAATGTGACAGTAAGAGGCTGAAGAAAAACTCACTCGGCAGCAGAATGGGTACTGACATGGTCCCGCCAAATGAAGAGGCTCTCATCAAACACCCCTCATTAGAGAACACAAGGAAAGGTGTTTGATGAGAAACTCCTGGCCAGGTGCTGTGGACACGCATAACCCAACACCTCCACAAACTTCCCCAAGGATAAAGAGCCAGAGGTTTACTCACTGACACTGAAAATCCAGTTCCTTTGATATACTAAATAACTCCTGGTGAAAACCTAGTAAAGAGCCACTGTCTCCCATCAGCAACGCTTTTATACATACAATCTTATTCCAGCATGTTACATGCCACATTCCCAGCATCATCATCCACCCATCAACATATCTAAGCACGCGGAGCATCCCAACATCCCGTGGCTGGAAGTCTGCAAGCTACCCCAGCACAGCAACACTCTGATCACTAATGAATGAATTTGTAAACGTGGTTGCTTACTAGAGAAGCCACGTACCTACCAGCCTACCTCCCATCAATTCAAATATTTGCTCAACAAGCAGTAAATGGGGTGTCAGAATAGATATGTTTTACCACTTGCAGAAAATCAAATGCTGTCAAGTGAAAATATCACATCTACTCATGCAAAGCACACGAGCAGTTGGCAGCACATTTCCGAAACCAGAAGCTGTGGATTTGGAGTATCATTGTCTAAAGCATTTTTAGGCTTTGGGAACATACGGTGTGTGAAACAGTCTGAGAAGAGTCCTTCTGCCCCTCACCCTGGCCGGGGGGCCCAGGAGAGACTGCTGCCTACCACCTCAAACACTGCTTTTGATAAGAATTTCGTTTAAATTGCAATTGTGAGATCAGATGAAAACGCAGATAATTCCTGGTTTTATAATCTAAACTGATGCAGGAAATAATGTGTTTATGTTAGGAAAAAAAAATAATTTTCTGTTTCATAAGGCTCTAATTGGGTTTTAAAGGAAAGGAGCGCTATGTTTATCCCGATATTTACCTTCTGCAGCAGATTATGTTTGTCCATGGGAATCCTACAAAATCCTCACCTTCTTTATTAAGGCCATGTCAGCAGAGATATGCAAAGGACCCCACTGTCTTTCAAATCACATCCAACGCTCAAAAATGTCACAGAAACGTAACTGAAGATGCCAGGGGTTGGCACCACGATGTAAAAAAAATAAACATTAGCAGCATTAACCCCCAATACACACCACAAGCAGGACATCCCCGTTAACAACCACCACATTGCAGGAAAACCTTCAGTGAATTAAATACAGTTGTGCCAGCCAATATAAAAAACCCCTACTATTGCACCTCCACAAAGCAACCTTTCAGGCGAAGGGAGCAGCTCCTGGGGCAGTGACACGCCAGTCAGCTAATTGTGAAAGGAACTGCACTCCACAGCATCGCCACAGCAATGAACAGCAACAGCAGCCAGGTCAGAGCCCCTCCGCGTCCCCCATCAATGCACGGCTGCGTCCTCCTCCCCCGCCGAGACCTTACAGGGATCATTTTTACATTCAGTAACTCAACTGTGAAATAAGAATCAACTAATTCAAAGGGCCATCCCTCCACATCTACCTAACTTAGGCAAACAAAACCTAGCATCTTTAGAAAGCCTTAAAATCCTAAATAAGCAACAAAATGCAAAAATTAGTTTTGTGCTATTGCTCAGAAATAAGATTTTGATTTGCTTCTATTTTTACCAGTATCTTAATTATAACACAGATAATTTAATTATAACTGACCTATAATTTCCAGCACAACACCTGCCCCAGAATTTGGACAGTCTGTAAGAAATTTTCTTTGCAGCTGGACATGCAGTTCTTAAATAAACATTTACGCACTCACAGCTGGGAGACCTGCCGGCCCCTCCCCAAAACCAGCCCCTCCAAACCACACACAACCCCTTCAGCGCACAAAGGGGGAGCAAGTGCCTTTTCCCCAAGAAACACTTAAGCGAGGACAGCGCTCGGGACACTTGCAGTTGCTCCACTCACAGATGTGATCAAGGTGCGATTTTAACTCATTCCTGGCCCTTTGGAGTGGTTTTCATTGTAAATGTTGCCTCGCTGAAGATAAAAAAAATAAAAATATGCCTTGAAGGAAAATCCTTTTAAGTGAAGAGCGTTGCTTCCCAACAGGCTGAGGTGTTTTCTTGAGCTGAAATTCAGAGGGAAGCGGGATGCACGGCTGAGAAAGAGCCTTCACCCGGCTGGTGCCAGACCACGGCACCCACGTTCATCCCACGAGTGGGTGAGCGGGGCCCCACCGGTTCGCAGAGCCTGGAGCTCTTCCCCACCATGTCTCCTTCCTCTGCCTCCTCCTGCACAATGGACTCCGGACAGAGCTGGGGACCCCGGCTCGGCCGCCAGCAGCCCCGGGCATCCCCGGCAAGGGAGGGGGGGACACTGGGTGCCGGCTCCCCTGCCTTGTGTCCACTCGTCCCACCATCCCCACGCCCGATGGAATCTATCTCCGGCTGAACCTCAGCCTTTCGGCTTTCACTTCTCCGTGACACACGCACCCCTACAGAGACCCGGCACACCGCGCTGTGCACACCCAGGCACAGCGTGCACACCCACACCGTGCACACATGCAGAGACCATAGCAGACACACACCCTGAACCCCCAAGACACACACACACACCCCCCCTCCCCGCACACACAGGGCCCACGCAGACCATGCATGCACGCTCCAACCCCGTGCACACGGATCCCTCACGCGCGCAGAGGCACCGAGCACACAGCCCGTGCTCGCC